CAATAAATTTTGGAGCCTGCTCCATCATTTTTTGGAGCCTGCTCAACTAGTCTAAGAGCAGGCTCCCCTTTTATGCGTGAAATCTGATGGTTTGGGCACTGTTTGGAATTTTAAATTGTCGCAAGGACTGAAATAAAAATTTTAAGAGTAATTTCAAGGGATTTTAAACTCTTTAATTAGGAAATTTGGTTTATAGAGCAATTAGAATAAATAGTGTAAAAATAAACAACTTTGCACGCTGCAAACGGATAGAAAGGACTAATTTGCTAAATCTTGTTTTAAAATTTTAACGGATTGTAGTGTAGACTCCAAACATTATAATGGGTTGTTTTAGAGCCTAATATGCATAATTAGTGTCCTTGTGCTCATGGATTTAACCGTAGAGAAGTATACAATGGTGTAGGCTGCTAACGGATGAAGGGGGTTTAATTGCCTAAATTAGTTTTAGCAATTTAACGGAATATGTATATATTTATAAATCTTGTTGGGGTGGCATGCTAGGATTATTTAATTAACAGGTTTGATCTAGGCATATCTTGGATGTTAATTGTTGAAATACTAAATACTTTTTCTGGAATGCATGGATTTAAGCTTGTAATCTTAATTGCGGTAACATTAAGCATTTCACTGCAATTACTTGGATTAGGGTTTGGACTTAAATTGCTGAACTAGTACTTAGGTTCTGTCAATCTAATTGGATGTTGGCCTGGAATTAATTGAAGAATTAAATATATATTTTCTGTCAATTACCTGGATGGATGCTGGAATTGAACTTGACGAATTAGTAAACTTTGTCTCGTTTAATTACATGGATGGATTCTGGATTTGTAGTTGATGACTTGTTTAAATTCTGTGTTTATCAACTATAGGAATACTGTGGACTTTATTCGATGTACTGCTTATAATGTTGCATCATTTACGGATCTTTTGCATGTATGCACGGGTATGGGACGGTGTCATACGGAGGGATGGATTAGGTCACAACGCTAATTCCTACCCATTCATACATATGGAATGGATTAACTAAAACAGTTAAATCCTACATGATTTCATGTCCTGTCAACTAAAACAGTTGAACGGCATACTAGATGATCGTTTATATTTCTATATTAGGACGGATAGGGTTTTAACTAGAACGTTTAAATCCTGATTACATGTTGTGTCTTGAGCAATGAACTGTTGACCGGCACAACGTTGTACTTGGAGGGAACTTATATATATAATTGGGATATGGATTTAATTAAAACATTTAAATCCTAATTTTATGTTGTGTCATGGCAACGAACAGTTGAGCGGCACTACATTGGTTTGGATGGGAATTTATATATATAAATTATGGTACCGCGGTCTGAGCTTGAGTCTCATAGTCGACGGTTAGGGTGCGTATATGAAGTAGGATGCGTAGTTAGCTATGTTGGTTGAGGTATACCCTGTTAGGCTTAGGTAGTCATGCCCACTCAGGTGCGTATTGCATGTTGCCTTCTATTCAGGTTAAGACCCTCAGCATAGTTCAGTGAGAGTCCTGTAGTGTGGATATATATTTATCAATTACGGACTATATAGATATGGTTGAGACATCTACGATGTATCTGCGTATCGGGTCTCTGTTTGGATTGTAGTTAGGATAGAACTTGTTCGTGGGCCTGACCCACTATTATTTTTCAGGTAACGGACGGTTCCAGGTCTTAGATCTTGTTCATGCTGAGCAGAGACGGCTTCTCAATCTTCTGACGACATAGGAGCTTCTTCATGTTTTAGCAGTGAAGTTCTTCAGTTGATGATTTTAGTGTTGGAGTTTTTAGGGGTCCACCAGATGGATTCCCAAGTTGTATTAGAAATGGAGAATTTGGATGTATCCGAATAATTCTCTATTAATTTAATTTTATTATGAGGTTTCAGTATTTGAATTATCATTCTAGTTTCTTTTCAACAAATTTTTATTTATTCCTGTTTTCTTATTTGTATTCTGTGTTCGTTAACTGCTAATTGGTTTGATATCCTCGGGTAATCGGGCGTGGGCCTGGCCAATCCGCATCCGGAAATCTGGGGGTATCACAAAAGCTAAATAAAACAAATAAACTATTTAAATATAATAAAATAAATCTTTTAAAATATAGGGGTATTACATGGTTTAGTTACCCAATAGATGACATCAATGACTCTCTTTCCTTTCAACAAAGATAACAAATTTGAATTGGGATGCCTAAGCCGTTGATACCAAATAGCCATAGAGGAACTACCATTCTTTATTGCATTCAACGCTTCCTGAGAACCTTTATACGTCATATAAAGTTTTCATTTCTTATGCCCCATCACTAGTGTCCTTTGGTTTCGGTCCTTAACAACAAAACCACAATTTGTGAATTCAAAGATGCACAAATTATCCGAAGTAAACTTTCCTACACACAGCAAATTTTTGGTTAAATTGGGAACAACAAAAACATCTTTCGAATCTAATTTTCTATTGTTAGTAATAAGACTAACATCACCAGTATGAGAGATTGGTACGCTATTACCGTCCCCATCATAAATAACATCTCGTCTATTGTATGGCCGAATTCAAGATAATTTACCTACATCATTCGTCATGTGTGAGGTGGCACCAGAGTCAACATAGAAAGAGTTGTAATTTGAGTCATTAAGGGCATGAGCAGTGAGTTGTTGATGAAAATCTTTAGATTAGTATGAGTAGTCAAACATGTACCAACAACCAATAGCGATGTGATTTTCTCTTCCACAAATCTGACAAGAGAGTTTACTATTATTTTCAAAATTATTTGGACATGGCTGCTATCTGGTCAGATTCTTATCCTTCGGTGGACCTACGTTGTTGTTTTGGCTGAAATTTCGACCATTGTTTTAATTGATTTGATTGTTGTACCGCCCAGCAGGAGTGACCTCTTGAATTGAACTATCTGTAGCCTCCTTGACCGCTTCTACCATGGCCTTGCTATTCGAAAAAGGCTTAAGCATGTTCCACAAACATCTTCTCTTCGTCTCTTCTTGCAATCAAAGATTGTTCATACCCTTGAAGAGCTAGAACAAATTGAGAAAAGGATGGTTGTGGAGGTTTGGTGAGCATTAAATACGAAAGTTCTCATAACTTGGACCTAGCCCACGATCGAATTGGAACACCTTGTCTAAATCATCAACCGGCTTCTTAATGGCAGCGAGATTATTGTAAATGGATTTGAATTCCCTTAAGTATTCCACCAAGGATCGAGACCCCTTCTGAATGGTCATTAACATGCCTTTTAAATTTCATTCTTTCTTGACTATAAGAGGAAGAAGTTGTGCTTCGAGCGAGGTTTAAACTTGATATGCCGTTTCAGAGCCAAAGATTGAACTTTACGCATTTTCTTTCATGGTTCCAAGCAACCATGAAACAAGAAAGCCATCATTTATACTCCACGATTCGAAAAGCGGATTGGAACTTTTGCTACCCTTCTCATCCTCTATCTCTTCAGTGGGTTTATCACCATTGATAAGATGATGATAAAGAACCAGATTGTTGACGATATGTGAACGCCATAAGAGATAAGATGATAAAGAAAAGCGGATGATATGTGAACACTATAAGAGGTAGTTGGTGTTGTCCAGCTTTACAGAAATCAAGCCAGAACATTGATAAGATGATGATAAAGAAAACCGGATGATATGTGAACGCCATAAGAGGTAGTTGGTGTTGTCCAACTTGACAGAATTCAAGCTAGAACATTGATGAAATGAGTGGATTGAGAGCTGGAGTTCTTTCTGAGATGAAAAGGCCGACATGTTTATAGGGGTTGTGAATGGTAGCTCTGATACCATGTTATAGGGCTTGCGAATAGTAGCTTTGATACCATGCAAATATTCAAGAATTGACAAATTGAAGCAATTTGACTTACATATCAATTTTTGGATAATAATTAAAGTAAACTATATTTAACCCCCTTTGACTTGTAGCGTTTTACATTAAACCCCGTTACTATTTTTTTAAAAATTTATTTTATTTTGTGTTTATTTTTATTTTTGGTCAAAAAACCCCTTCAACTAACCGAGGGAATTACTTTTTGAAGTTTTGCCAAAAATACCACCATCAACCAAGTCAAGGGAGCTTTACGCAATTTGTCCAATTATGTAAATTTAGATAAAAGATTTTATTTTATTTTGTTTCTTGAATAATAATATTTCAACTTATATTTTCTGTTACATGCATCATCGTATTTTTAATTAAAGGAAAACATAAGAAAAAAATTAACAAGTAAAATTCATAGTTATGAGTGCGACTATATATAATTTCAAATGTTATATGTTTATTCATAGTATATATTATATATACCATCATTTTATTATTTATAGTATATTTTTGATTTTGTACAATGCATGATATAAGTATAGGAGATGGACATTTGATCATTAGATCGATAAAAATGAAATAACATGTAGCTGCACTCATAATTATTAATTTTATTTTAAAATTTTATTTATTTTTAATGTTTTTTCTTAAATTAAAAGTATGATGATGTATGTAACGGGAAATATAAGTTCAAATGTTATTATTCAAGAGAGAAAAAATATTTATCTAAATTCACACAATTAAGAGAAATAAAACCCTTCTCGACTTGGTGGGGGTATTTTTGACAAAAATTTAAAAAGTAACCTACTTAGTTAGTTGAAGGTTTTTTTTTTTTTTTTTGAAAAAAAAATAATAAATGAGAGTTCATTACAAAACATTACAAGTTAAGAGGAGTTAAGTACAATTCTCTAAAAGTTGAGTGATTTGGAACTTAAATATAATAAAAATGTATGAAAAAATAATAATAAATGAGAGTTCATTACAAAACATTACAAGTTAAGAGCAGTTAAGTACAATTCTCTAAAAAGTTGAGTGATTTGGAACTTAAATATAATAAAAATGTAAAAAATAAAATTTATTAGTTCTACAATTTATTTTTTATTTAGAAATTATTGTCTTTTACAGGTATATTAAGGTAGTACTTAGGGCAACTTTTCCTTTTAGATTTGGTGTATTGACACGACTGAGAAATACTACAGGAAAAATCGTCATTCTAGGCAAACAAACGTGTTTCCATATAAGCGTACTTGGCAGACGAAATCGAGAATAGAACGTTCCGTCTTGACTCTCACGAGCGACTCAACTAAGCACTCTCACTCTAAATTCTCTGTTTACTGCTTTTTTAAGGTGACGCGAGTTCTGATCTTGGGACATCTCTTTCTCTCTCTAAATTGTTTCTTTCTCTCTCTAAATGGGCAATTGGAATCGGAGATGGCAACCGCGTAGGAAGTATTATCAAGAACCTCCATTGTCTACCCCTAGACCGCACACCAATGAATCCCGCAATCCACCTGGTATTTCCAGATCTCTCTGATCATAGGGTTTTTCAATATCGTTTTTTTTTTTTTTTTTTTTTTAACATGTTTTCGTTTATTATAAACTATTATATATATATATGATATTGAAGTGAATTAGGATTCAAGAAGTGTCACGCTAGAAGAGAATTGTTTAAAGGAAATTAAAATAAAAAACTGGAATCAGAAATTTAAATTATGTTGCGTTGATTGTAAAAAGATTTTGGTTGATGGGTTTAAGTTGAAATTAGATTGTAACTCGTGGGTTACTGTTTCATTCTCTGTGTTTTTATGATATATTGTTAATAGTACTTGGTTGCTAGAAAAGTGAGGAAATTAAAAGAAAATAGTATTTTTTTTTATGCCATTTTGGTTTCTGAAAGAAGGAAACCCTAGTCTTGCAGTAAGCTAAACGGTTGAATTAGGATCAGTAAATTGGAGGATGTTATTTACCTGGGTCTTGAATAATTAAAATGAAGAAGATTTAATTCTTTTCCCTGAGCAATTCTAAGGAATTAAAGGGTGCACACAACTTTTGGCATTGAATTAGGGTCAGGAAAAGAATGAAAGTATATCAAGAAAGAAAAAAGAAGAAAGAAAGAAAAAGAGAGAAAATGCTTTTGAAGATGTCTGGGAACAAAAAAGTATGACTAATATTGTATCGATCATATGCATCTTTTTTCCTGGTCAGACGGTTTGGTAAAAAAATCTGAATATGTGTAGAGAGAGAGAGAGAGAGAGAGAGAGAGGTTTAGCACAGGATCAATTACTTGGGGTTTAGGTTGTTCCACATAAACTAGTTATAAAATTGTGTCATTTAACACAGTTTGGTGATAATTTGTGGTCACAAGCAGTGTTTACGTCATAACTTTTTAAAAATAAAAATTGGCTCAGTGATGATGAATTCCTTATTTGTAGATTCAGATGGAAATGGAATCCCTTTCACCTTTTTAAAAAAAAAAAAATTAATTGGCCTATCAAATAAAAAATGAGAGTTAATTGATCTGTTTTATTGTTATATATAGAAAAAGGAATTACTTGTTACCATTGTTTATTGGAAATAATTAATTTTTTTTTGCAACTTGTGGTCTGAATGTGATGCGAACGTTTACATTCCTTTTGCAGTAATTTTAAGTTTTCTGCTTTATCTCTTTTTTATTGTTGCGATGGATGTGCGGCAAAACAAGAAGATAGAATTATAAATGAAAATATTTGTGAAATGGTTGAAGTAGCACCAATTGGGGATAAATTGATTAAAGATGGTTTTGACTACGTACAAAGAAGATCACCAAGTATGCCAGTTAGGAAAATTGACATAGTACACATAAAAGGTAATGCTAGGGGAGGGGAAGACAAAATTAAAATGTGGGTAAAGTTAGTAAGAAAAAATAGGATTCATGTAGCTGAACCCAAGTAGTTGGTAAAGAAAGCTTTGTTGAGTTGAGAATCTTTTTCAGGCCTACAAATATCTTCAAGTTTCAGTTTTTGGAGATATAATCTTTTTATTTTGTTCTTTGTTTCTTGAGTCTTGGTTATCTTCAGTTTTTGATCTGGAGCGAGCTTGTGAACAAATTAATTCTGTTTTGAGTGGATTTTGAGAGGTTTTGTTTGTATTTGGTTGTTCCGTAATATATTGTTTTTTGTTTAACCTGTTATTTTAGGTACCAAACATTAAGACTTAGTAATCTAATTGTATGAGTCTGCTATAACTATTCTATTTAATGCCAAACAATATCATATAATTACACAATGCGAGGACAGATGCAATAAATCAATAATATAACCACAGGCTAATATGATATATATCTATATATATGTATAGATTTTGCTTTTTTGATCATTTGGTTTTAATCCCATTTATAGTCATAAAAAGAGTATTTGAATGTCAGGGACAAGAAAGGTATTTCTTGCAGATGGCATTTGAAAAGGTAGTATAAACTTAACTGCACTTCACCCAATCTTTTTGTTCTTTCTGATGCATAATCTCCACTAAAAATCATAGAACTCATTAGTATATCGAAAAAGGAACCAAAACATATTCCTTGTCCTAAGTGCCTGTGCCGTCTTCCTGGGCTCTATTCTTCTCTGTCGCCTTTGTCTGAGATGAGCTTCTACAGACTTTCAAAGGCAAGCACACCTTTGATAAGGAAGCTATGTTACTGTTATGGTACTCTTAATCCTCCTCCGTCTCCTACATAAAGCCTTTTGAATTCCCTTTGGGGTGATGGCTTCCATCCAGCTCTGATACTCCTTGATGCGATTTCAACACAGTAAGCTGCATCTTTAGGCAATTGTTCTTGCAATTTTATGTTCTCCAGCAGAGAATGTACACAGTGGTCAAACCTATTACCAAATTTCCAGGTCTTCACTAATTCTTACCAGTTTTCATTCTTGGACCTTGCTTTTTAATAGTGCAACTTTCAAGGTGTTCATCACTTGAACACCTTCTTAATCCCCTTTGTGGCAAGGGCTTCTCTCCAGTTCTGATTCCAGTCTAGGGAGTCTTAGAATGATCAAGCACTGACTTGCAATTAAAAGTGATTTTCTATAATTTAGCTTCTCAAGAATCATGTTTCTTGGGATTATGGAAGTTGAATCTTCTCTTTTTGATCCTGGTCTTGATAGAACTTGCATTTACGGTATCAGTGGAATGGGTTATAAGGCTCTTTTAGATTTAAGCATTTTCAGTAAAGTCATTGTCCATATTCCTTAGGTTAGTTGCATGATTCTTTTTATTTTCCACACTACTTGAGCCCATACTTTGTGTTAAACTATAACCTAATGTTTTTCTCACAACCTCATCCCAGTTATTTTTAGTCTTTTCCATTTTTTTAACAATACTTCCAACTTGGATCTTATTGTTCTTTGCTGGTGTTACCTATCTTCGTTGTGGTGTTGCCTATCTTCTTTGTACGTTCTTCCCAATTCAATCTTTTACCTAATCATTGCTACTTCAAACTTAATACAATGTAACCTTTTTTTAATTCATTTATTTCAAACTCCCACACAGATTGAAAATGGAGTTCTATAAGATAATTATTAGACCAGTCTTTCTTAGTGGAACAGAATGTTGGGAAGCTAAGAAACAGTATCTGCATGAAGCGTGTGTTGCGGAAAACATATGTTGAGACGGATGTGTGGTAAGACCAAGAAATAGTAGAATTAGAAATGAACGCCTGTGAGATGGTTGATGGTTGATGGTTTGAACATGTGCAAAGAAGACCATTATTGTCCACGTTGTGGGTAATGCTAGGGGAAGGGGAATATCAGAGTTAATGTGGGTAGAGTTAGTAAGGATACGGTAGCATGTGGTTTGACATGAGGCTATGGCCTGCCTTGGAGCGGAATAAAAAATATAATTCATGTAGCGCTTGACTTTACTGGACTCAACTCAACTCAACTCAACAAAGCTCTTTACTTGACTCTCTCAGCATATTCATGTTTGCCAAGCTCAGGCAACCAATGTGGTATTGTTCATGTTTTTAAAGTATCCATTCTAGTTAAACTCCATGCTTATGTAATTGATAGGAATATTGCATCATTTGGTAAATATGTTATAGTACTTAGTAGATGTTATATCCTCTGGACTTAATATATGTGATTTCTTATTCTAAATTCTTTTTCTGTTAGACATTTCTAGTTCATAGAAATTGTCACTGCTTTTATCTTAATAGGCTGTTCTCTATGCTGTGTAGTAGAACTCTCTTATGTAAGGAGAATGGGTCTGAATGGGGCTGAAAATAATGAGCTCTAATGTTCTTCTCTCTTTGCTACTACAGGGGTCTGGCAAAACAGTGTGCCTTCATGGGAAAGGAAATTTTGCACTTTGGTTGGATCAATTCCATGGCAGAAGGTCGTGGTTGCTAAGAAGTATATGCATTGCCACAGCGATGTGATCAACTGGAATGACTCTGCTGGGGAAGAAGCATTTCATAATGCGAAGAAACGGTTTTGGGCAGAGATCAATAGCCTTCCCTGTGATATCACTTTGCCTGATCCAAACATTTATATTGATGAAATTGATTGGAATTCAAAAATTGATCCTGAACTGATGTTGGATGTGGATAGGGAGTACTTCAATCCTGACGAAGGTAAAAACAATGACAAGGTGGAGATCACAATCCAAAAGGCACACAATTCGGTTTCTGGCCCTTCTTTAGGATTGGATGTTAAGAATCTGGGTAATTGTGGCAATCCTTGGGAATGTGGTTATGTGCAGGGTACGGCACAGGGTTGGGACAACTGGGATAACTCCAGGAATTTGGATAATGTTGACAATCCTTGGGAGCGTGGCTCTTCTCAAGGTAATGGAGCTTCCAAGGACAATGCATGGGGGGGTTGTGCAGATACATCGCGGGAATTCCAACCTGGGTTAAACTGCATCAATCAAGCAAACAATTTGGATAATAATTATGACAATCCGTGGGAACGAGGCTTTCAAACTGTTGGATCAGTGAAGCTAAATGGATCGGTAAATGTTGGAAATAACTCTTGGGGGAACCGTTGGAAGGTCGGTGTTCATGAATCAAGGAATATGACTAAAGTTGACAATCCTTGGCAGAACAACTTTCTTCAGGATAGTGGAGCTCCAAATGATAGGGGATGGAGAGATTGCAGGGACAATTCCTGGCATTGGAAGCAGTTGGAGAATGGAAAGAATGAGCAGAAGTATATAGATTCTAGAAAAACCAATGGAGGTTGGCAGGCCAACAATGGTGGCTGCCGGAAGAGAGAAGGTTCTAATCAGTATCCATTGAGGTACAAAAGCTCGAGATTTCAAGGTGATGATTATGGTACATGTCATCACTGGAGGAAAGGAGGAACTCAGAAGAGGTCCAGTTATGTATTTGAGTAGCCAATTATGGATTAAAGGCCTTTGATGCTCCAGGGCAGTGGAACATGGTCAATCTCAATTGCCAATGCCAAGAATTTTGGTCTGTCTTTTTACCAAGAAAATATCTTCTTTGTAATCTTTATACTTGTGTTATATTTGCTTTTCTTTGTTGTCATGAAGCTTTTTGGAAGGCTATAATCCAGCAATGAGCATTTTTTAATCTTTTTGCCTGTTGCAACTTGCATGCCAAAATGATTGTACTGAATATGAACTGGGTGACCAGTTTCTATTCATCAAGATCTGTCGTCAGAATATGTTGGCTCTTTGTTCGAGAACTTAAAATTTGACTGGGCAAAGGTATGATTCTTATGCAACTTAGTTCCCCAAATGTTCTTCTTTCCGCAACGAACAACCTTCTGCATGACACCACATTATTATTGTTGAGGATTTTAGTGTAATTTGCTTTTGTTTTTTTTAGTTTTATTTCTTTATGACATGGGATCTACCTGACACATACTCAAAATTATATGCTGTGTATGGAGGCTTTAAATTTTTATTGGGTACGGTGGGTTTCTTTCAGTGCAAAAGATGCATTTGTATAGGTCCCTGTGTCTGATAGGAATCCAAGTATCCTACCTAGGACTTTAAAAGTTACTTCCAAAATCATTGCACAATCACCGCTTGGCGTGAAAAGGACTTCGTCTCATTCTAAATTCTTTTTTTATCTGTCTTACTCTAGAAATTGTTTGAACAAGATGTGAAGAATATTTAGTTGCTCTACATGAGTGCAGAGGATTATCTTTCTACATGGCTTCTCTGTTTATTTATAATCAAATAGTGATGTAATTTTCTTCTTAGAATCTTGATCGATTTCCAACATGATTTCATTCATATCTTATGAAGATTAGGATAGCGATTCTGGCAGAGAACTCGTCCCAGACCTAAGTCGAGGCCAGAACAAAATTTGACTTTTTGTCCATTGGATTTACAAGAGTGTTTCTGCACCAATCACGTCAGATAAATTTCATGAGAAATTCCATCTGATGAGGCTTGCCTTACTTGCATGGATCAAACTTTTACAAGTCAATCTATATATGTTTGTTACACACATATATACACAGGGGAGGGGGAAAGAGGATTTATAAATGGAAGTCTGTTTGAGTAACAGTTTTTTGGCTTCAATACATATTCAACTTTACCAAGAGGCAGCCAACGAATTATAGAAAGGTTATTTATTTATAATAAAGGATACCACTGTGGGGTGGGGCACTTAAAATGCCAATCCCAACTTGATTATGAAAATATTTCCCAAACCCTCCCCTACCCCAGTCATGTGCTTCAAAACCTATTCCAGTTGGGGTGGGCTAATTAGTCGACTGATTTCTGTCCCTGATGGAAAATGTTTGATCTGCTTATATTTCTTTTGTGCATGGAGAAAACCTTGCATGAATTAGAATATGAGTTGACATATCTAATGCTGAATATCTTGCTGGGATACAAAATCTCTTTTCCTTCTCTATCCACTTCTTTCCATTATCTTTCTATTTCTATCTCTTCTTCCTTGGTAATTTAGTGGTTATTGCTTGTGTAGCGGTAGAAGTTCGGCCTGCCAAGTAGGAGAAAGCGGGAACCAATTTTTGCATAGAATGGCTAATGTTTGATTTGTACCCAATACGCCCCTCCCAACAATCTCGAACGGGAACCAGCATGAACCTACTTGGTAATTACAAAATCATATTTTTGTAATAAATTAGTTTATACATGATGAATTTTTTATATAACATAGAAAAATTTGCTATAGCAGTTCCTATAAGTTTATAGGTATAATTTATTTTGGCATTATTCTGAAAATATATTTTGATAAAAAGCTGTACTTTTACTCTAGTTTATCCTCTCTTCCCCCAATTTGAATAATCTAATTTAACCTTGAGCCTAACTTATGGGCTTGGTTGCCATCCTCGATTTAACAAGGCACCCACCACCAAGATGCTAGCAGTAGAAGGCAATCCCTTAAACTCCTGAGCAAATTGCGTGGCTACAAATTAATTGTCCAGTTCAGTGTTAGTTCCGATAAATAGTTTAGTTTTAGAAGATACTAGTCAACCGATAAATAGTTCAGTTTCAGAAGATACTTGTCAGCATAAAGTCTTATTTATAAACTAAATGTATACTCTCTCTCTCTCTCACACACACACACACTCAGAGAGAGAGGAGAGAGAGAGAGAGAGAGAGAGAGAATTGTTGGTGATGTCATCATCTTTTTACTCAACTTTGCTTTAGATATTATCAATTTTAATTTGGTCCTCTCTTCCCTGATTTATACTTAGAAGTTTTGAACTTCAATCAACTCTTGCTGTTTGAGTGATGTGCAAAAATAGGGAACCTGGAGGCTCTCAACTCAAATCTGATCTTGTCATTCAGCTAATTAAAGAAAGAGGCAAGGCCTTCAACTTCACAACAAGCATTCTATAAATATATATAGTGCTCCTAAAATTCTACTATATTCCAAAAAATCCTTACCTTTTGTGTTGACATATGTTTCCATGTGTTACATATTATCATATTAAATACACTTTCTAAAGACACCCAATGTTTTATATTAACCTATATATTGAATCCTAAATAGTTGAGAAATGACTTGAGTTGAGTTGAGTTGAGAACATAAACATGAAAATAACCAACAAAATGTGGAGGGATCAATGTAATGATACCGGACTGCAAATAGCTTTAATATGCAAAATCAAAATGCAATGTGGTATTCAACATGGTAGGGGTTAGCTTATGTAGGTCAAATGATTGGAATATTTTGAGTTATTTCCTACATACGAGGCTGTGATTTTTGAAAATTATATGATAATAAAAATGTCATTTTACCCTAGGTCTCTATTTACTTGTGGAAATTCATCATATGGAATGGCTGATGCATTTTATATCTCTGCAAATGTATTATTCGTTAATTTGATTGTTCTTTGGTTCCCTGGATTTGAATGGGGAGTTTGAGGTTTCACATAGGCAGGGTAATACTTGTTCTCTCTTCTGTAGCTAAAGATGAATCTAATTGAGATAATATTGGAGCCACTGCTTGATTGGCTGGAGGAGGCCAAAGGAAAATTCCCAAATTTTTTATTGAAGATGAACTTTATAGTGTAATTAAATGGGCTGGTTAAGTTTTCTTGGTTGCACGTGGAAATGTGCCAAACTTTTTGGAACAGTTTTAGGGCTTTTTGATCTCATGTATTTTTTTGATAGTTTGAGCTCATATATATATATATATATTTCTCTTTAGTTGTTTATGGGATGAGCTCCTCGCTTGAGCGCTTTTCTATGAAATCTTTACTTATAGAAAAAAAGGCTATTTGATCTCTCTCTGATTTATTTTTTATTTTCCCTTCTTTCTTTGTTTTTCTTTGTTTTTTATTTATTTATTATCATATCATTTTGCTTGCCTCATGTCCAGAGGACATTTATCATCTATGCTAAGTTTTCCACTTCTCTCGTTGTAATGTAGCTTGTTTGCCTTATAAATATGGGAAGCACTAAAAGCTAAGGGATTCTTTTATCTGGTGTGGTTTAGTGGTGCCTTATTCTACATGGAGAAGTTTGTTAAAAGGATTGCAAATTTTCTTTATGACAAAAATGTATTAATCTGTTCATTTATCATCTCTGCTAATAAGTTTTCCGTTTCTCTCTTTGCAATGTAACTTTTTTTTATTTTATTTTTTATTTTTTATATCACAATGAAGTATCCGTGTAAACTAGGGATTTTATTTTTCTGATGCTTCACTGATTGATATTCTTAATGCTTATTCTTTGTGGACTTCTGATGATTTTAGTGAGTAATTATCTAGTCTTAAATTTTGATTAGTAGGTGGAAGTTCAGAACAATATTAGTGATTGAAGCTCTTGACCTATCTTAATTGCTTCAGATGACAACTTTTTTATGTGAATTGATGCAAATTGAGTTAATATGGTCTTCCCTTGATGTATTTCATAAATTAATCAAGCTCCATTGTGGGTGAACAAAAGTCAAATGGGTGTATTGGTTGTACACAATCTCAGAAGGATATATAAGAATATACTTTTGTATGTCTATATACACGTGTATGCACAAGGGTCTGTATTGTTAAAATTCTTAATAAGTTGTGAATTCAATACAACGTAGTTAATTCTTTTCCATCTATTTTTGAATGTAGGCAGTTGGATATCAGATTATTTCTAGAAAATGTTCAAATCTTTTATAGTATGTGGTAAAATATACATTTAAAAAAAATCTATTTGTTTCATATTTTCTAAGTATTTCATTCAAAAACTTTTCACTAATTAATGTAGTTATGGCATTTTCTCAAGTCATGGTACAACTTCAATTGACTAGATGGTGAACTGCCGATTGTATACTCGGTTGCATTTAAGATCAATCAACAATATGGTTTTATTGTTTCATGTATCATTAGGCTTTTGAGGGCTGTTACCGGTTCCATGGTAAAACACTTGAGCATTGGTGCAACTGGAACAAGCTCGAGCCCCGGAGGGGCCACTTTGTGAAATATCAAAAGTTAGGTCTGTCTCGAATCCTCCCTCCCCTGGACCCTTACATGATGGGATCAGAATTGGTAATGTTCTTTATATTATTAGGCTTTTCTTGATTGGTTTGTTAACTTTTGTAGACTTGTACACTGTTAACCTTCTTTCTATCTTTTGTTTTTCAATGAGGAGATGATTGTGTGAATAGTTCAATAGCTTTTTGCTGCAGGAGGTTGATAGAGGATCCAGACTGTTGCATTTCTTGATGCTATATCGATACATAAACTATGCTTAAATACACAATATCCTTATAGGTTACAATAAATTTAGTATTTATTTGTTGAAGGCTTGAAGCTATATATGGATTGTTGTTCAATTTCTTGTTTATCAAAAAAAAATTCTATGGCAATTAACTTTTTTATTCTGTTCTATTAAAAGATCTTTTTTTATTGGGTGTGCTCCTTATCATTGGCCCCTCATTCCATGATGGGCTGTCTTATCTTTATTTATTCATTTATTTATTATTATTATGCTTGCAAGAAACTCACACACCCTTATTGTCCCTGTGGGGACTTGAACCGTTGATCTTCTACTTTGGAAAGGTGAGGAAGTACCACTGGGCTACAGCCCTTGGTGATGGGGTGTCTTATCACACAACCCTGCTGTGTCCTATGAAAGGAAAAGGAACCTGTCAACAGAATATAAAAAAACAAAGATGAAATTCTGAACAACTATATGTATATGGGTGATGATTCCCACCATGGATAGCTGTAAGAAAATTAAGATTGCATTGTTTTATTCTGTGAATTCTGTTTAAATATCTTTTCATGTTTTCATGTGTTGTTTTGCAAATTGGTTGTATTTCCAATTGGCGTAGGATGTGATATGATATAAGCTAAATGTCTAACTCGTAGTTGTTAAATCTTCATGTAGCTTACCAGGAGAAAAAAAAAAAAGAAAAAAAGAAGGAAAATCATGTCATTCTTTTGGTTACCTTGGTCTCTTGGCAGGAAGTTCGCTATGTTGAGTGATGAATATCTATCGTTCGGTTCAGATCTTACGCTCAACATTGACTAGCTCAGAGCAAGCCTCATCTCTAACGCTCTGAGCTCTACTGGAAAAAAAAGAAAAGGAAAATCACATCATTCTTTTGATTATATCTCCAATTCTTTCTTCTGAATTCCTGCTTTTTGATTAAAATGTGCTTGCTTTGTTAAGTTGTATTATTAATAGCATGCTTTTGAGGGCTTGAAATTGTAAACTTGTTCTTTTAACAGGAACTTGGCAAACCACCATGCTTGATGGGGAAACAGAGTCAGGATGTTTGTAAGTTCAAATTTTGCAGCTCAAGGAAATCAGCAAGTAAACCACAACAATGAAAATGTCAGAGCGAATCTGACTAAGCATTCATCAGTGGGAATAATGCTGTTTGATATATATATATATATATTTTGTAGATATTGATGGTCTACCTTGGCTAGATCTCCCTGCCTGACCTGGAACGTCAACTTGTCATATACTGCTATTCAGTTTGGATGAATATCTCATGGCTAATTATTGAGTACCATAAAGTTGGTACGGTTGAGTTTCATTTTGGATCTCATTATTTCATTTATCGCTTTGATGATGCTGAGGGCACAAATAGAGATTAACAACTTAATGGCAGTCCCTAGTGTGCCAGGAGTCCAGATATGTTGACTGTTTGTGGGGACGTTGGTGATTTCTGGGAGCTGCAGCAAACAAAATGATTATATCATGGGGATAAAAATGAGTTTAGATTGATTTTCGACATGTCCCTTGGGATCTGCAGTAGGAGGTGTTGGTTGGAATCCTGAAAATGTAATTGCAGGAAGAAATGGGGTTCTGGCATTATATTTTGATGTGTTCATGTAACACCCTAGGTTTTGATCATGTCTATTTATGTGGTGTCTTGTATGATTTTAATTAAGATTGGGAGATTTAAGTAAATTTCGTATGGCCTTGTGGTCATTTATTGGTTCTATGGGTCCTTTATGTCAATGCTTAGTTAGTGGGGGATGTTTGTGTAATTAAGAGAAGTTGGAGTTAGTGGATTACATATGGCAGCGCCACTTGAATGGGTTATTTCAATTTTACATGTTTGTTCTATGCTTAAGTGTATCTCGATAAGATTGGAATGTTACGTGATTGATATGTTGGGAAATTCATGTCGTGCAGAATTAATTACTTGATTTCTCATGAAATTGTCTTCCCATTGCATAGGGAATTTCCTTCTTGGCTGCTTTTCTTTCACTAAATGCTGTTATGTGATGAACATGACTATATTTTTTGTTAAACATGCTCATCATGTGCACAAAACCTAGGAACTCTTGTTAGTGATTTCCTACTGGGCGTTGTCTCCCCCTTTACATTTTCAGGTACCAAAGTTCCTTAGGAGATTACGGAAGTTGTTTATGGTTGATTTGTTTTGTGGAGAATGTCCTGATTTGTATTCAAGTGTTGGTGATTGCTAGTTGCCCCTGTGGATTTGAATGTAATTGAGGTTATTATGTCAATTGTTGATATTTTATTGAACCAACCATGTGCTTTTGGAGGATCCATTCTTGTATGACCTGAAAGCAAATGTCCTTTTAAGTTTTGTTTAGACCATTCCCAGCTTGTATGATTATGCTTGAGGTTGTGACAATGAAACAATGTGGAGATACAGGACTTGGTTTCGGTTTGAAACTTGGGAATTACGATGAATGGCTGAGCTCAACAAGGTTTTCTTTTGCTGTGCCTCAAGGAGGGACAGTTTCGTACCAAGTGGTGGAGTTTTGGGTCGTTACAGTACAAGCTCGGTGTTTCAAGGTAACAACTGAAATGTATAATGCGTCTGAAAGGTGGACGAAGATGGAGTGACAAAGATTCCATTTGAGTGGCTTGTGATGGTAACAGGCCATTTAAAATTTTGAAGTTTGAAATTTATCCTGTCATTCATGCATTATTCTTGGATCCGGAGAAGCAACCAGTTGTCTGCAAAGATGCCAGATTGTTGGATGTCACTTAGCATTGTTGCAAATGTGATATATGTTATCAATGAGCAAAGTCAACAAAAGGCTTCTGATTCCAATTAAACAAGGCCATTATGGATTCTGATTTTGTTATATTCATCTGGTTCTGATATGTATATTTCTTCAGGAAGACACATGCCACTATCTTTTCCTTGTTTCATCAACACACATACATGAGCCTGGTAGCTTCTTTAATAATATGGCATCACAAGTGATTGAGATTTCTCAGTTCTTGTATCGAGTGCTGTAGCTTCTCTTGCAGTTGTCTTTTGCATTTGAGACTTGTTCTACTTATTCACTTCTTTTTTCGTTTTTGTTTTGTTTTTGGTTACTGCTGCTTGTGTGGATGGAGAGACAGTTAAAGCGAGAGGTGTAGCTAACTGTTTGCTAGCCAGTATTTCTGGCCTTGTGTATGGTTGAGTTGATGTGGACGCAACTTTGTTATGGAATAAGGAATTATAAATGGTGACTGTAGTGGTCTTGGTATCTTGATGGTTAGATAGATATTAGAGGTTAGGGATTACCCTTCATGTTTGATTGTTTCGATGATGATTACTTTCTAGCATGATCTTTGGAAACAAAGGATATTCTTGATTTAACGATGTTTCATATTGATGTAATGGTGTTGCATGCGTTGCTTATGTAGCAACAGGTCTTGCATTCTGATGTAATGGTATTGCATTTGCATCAAAATGATGCCGTTTTGATGCTCTGAAAGTTACTGAATCCTCCTCCCTTTGTACAGGAGAATATCCGGGTCATGTGCAGAGAACATGAGATATGTTAGGGACTAAAAGTATGACTGAGCTAAGAAAGTTACTGCCAAGAGAAGCTACTACATACATGTAGTACAAAGGGTGTGTGCAGAGCACATGGTAAGGTGACTAAGGTATGCTAGGGACTATTTTTGGTAAGGAAGCAAAAGATAAATTGTGTAAATTCAAGAGTTGGATGATTAAGTAGTTCCATTTTGTTATAATACTTGGAACCTTCTTAGTTCAATTCCTAGGCCTTTTGCAAATTTTGTAAGACCTCACTTTGTATTGTTTTGTGATTCGCTTCATATTTGTTTGTAAATATGGATCAGTGGACAATTGAAAAAGTATTAACAAATGATATGAGCAACAGTGGAGCCGAGTTTGCATTCATACATTTGTCTTCAGAACAATTGAAAAGGCACTCAGAAGTAATATGAGCAACAGTGGGGCTAATTTTGCATTTATATATTGCTAAAGAGGCAGAAGAGAGAACGGGAAATTAGAATGAGAAATAGAGAGAAGAATCCAACTGAACAATATTACATATTTTTAATAGCAAGGCAAAGTCAAAAAGTTGCTACTTAAATGTGTAGTGATTCAATTGAACAACGCCTTCGGTACGGTCAGTCACCGACCTAGCTGGTGACTTGGACACTTTTCGGGTGGGTCTTTGGCATGATGTCAGATTAAAAACTGGTCTGGATATGATACAAACTATAACAGGCCGGATGTCTCACATTCTTACTCAGAAACTTAAACTATTAGGTGGTGCTAACATCCAGTCCAAATATACCCAATTACTTTCCTTTCTGAATCTAATGTGAGACAAGACACTCCTTATAACAAGAGACCTCTTGGAGGGGAGAGTGGACATAGCATGTATGGTGACAATTGGTGTGTATATTTTTGATAAATAATTAGGCTAAACATTTGAAAGAGGTGCAATGAAAGGGACGAGTGGTTTGAAAATGGGTATGTATATTTTTGATAAAAATTAGATTACACATTAAAATACTCTACCCAGTTTGACTATTCATTACACCCTCATCTTCCTCCTTGGCCTCAATCCACCATAATTCTCACTCAATTGTAGCACACAACCTAAAATTTGATTAGAGTTCATATAAATTGCCCAATTCAAAGGAAACCAACTTGCCCACAAGTCTAGGCCTTCCGGAGTCTCCAAATTGGACAGCGTAACTAATTTTTGCACTTCCAAGATATGTTGAACTGGTTTAACTTGATGAAATCATTGGTCTCAACCTTTTTGCCAAACTTGAACCGATTTGCTATAAGTTAGACATTTGGTCAGTAGCCAAAAAAAATTCAAGAGAGCCAAGTTGGACAGACAAGTTCAAGTCTCTTGAATTGTAATCCTGTTGACACCCATTTTGGTAAATTTTGTAGTGATGACCTGGCAGTAGAGAATGGTGATCTTCCACGTAGATTGAAGTTGAAATTGCAAGCAAAGATGGGAAGAGTATTTTGAATAAGTTGTGCATAAAGATCATTGTTTTAAGACTTATCTTTTAGTTAGTTTTAGTTGCATAGTTATGTTATCTATATTAATAGTTGATTAAGTGATAGAGTTGTAATGCAAGTAAACTACTTGCATATAGGAGTTTGTTTTACGTAGTTTTCTATAAATAATGCTATAAGCATGCTTTGTAAGAGGTCCAGTACTATCAGAATCATTATATTTATTTGTTTGATTTCTCAAGCATTTTCCCCAAATAGCATCCTTGCTATCTTTATCTCTCTCCCTATCTATTTTAGTCTCGTTTTATTTCTCTCCATATATCTTTGTCTCTCTATCTCTTCTCCCTAACACTTTCGATATCTATATTTTCTCCCCTTTCTATACTCATATTATTACTATATATTATCCACTAATAAATTCCTTTTAATTAAGACAATTACAACTCAAAGAGGAGTTATATTATGTTCTCTTTTTCCTCGAATCGCCTGATAGTCAATATTCTCAAAGAGACTAGCGTTGACAACTCACACTCGAACCATATAATTGGTTCTGGCACGCCCGTACTACATCAATTTAAGATCGGATCTAGCTGGCCGAT